GAAGAAGACCTGCGTTTTTCCCCATCTTTTGATGCCACCCAAATTGGAATTATGCCTGGAGAGGGTCAGCTGGCCTGGGAGGACCAGGGGGAGGCTCCTTGTCCTGTGGATGAAGTGGGGAAATGTTAGGGAGGTTGTTTTGAAGTAGAGGGACAGAACTGAGGGACTTCTACCACCAACAAGGACGAGTGACTTTTGAGTGAAAGAAGACAGTGCAGGTTTTGGAGTCTAAACTGGCCTGCCACCCCTTGGTGCCTTTTACCTCCAGCTACAGGACTCCACTTCTCCATGGTGCCAGTCTGGGGCTGTATATTCTTCCAAACCCTCTGCCTCAGCCTCCTGAGTGCTGGGGTCATAGTTGTGTGCTGGCATACCCAGCCCTGTATGTTCTTTCTTCTGGGGAAAACCTTCCATGGAATCTGTGGCCCTTGATCTCCTTCCCAGGATGGCCAGACCTTTACTGCCATGGGGCTTCTCTGCCCTTTCTCTGGGGAGCAGCCTCTGGAGGTGCATCCTGAGTGCTGCTCTCTGGAGTGGGGTTAGGGCTCCTGGCATGGACTCTACAAGGAATCGTAGTTCAAACCTTGTGATTCTGGTTCTTAGGAAGATAGCAGTCTCCAGACCTCCCCACAGGGAACTGGTATGTTCTCCTTGGTACCTGGCATACCATTCAGTTTAAAAATTTCATTTTGCTTAAGGTATTTTTTATCAGAATCATTACATCCAATGGAAAATTTTCAATGAAGTTTTGCTTTGCTGATCAAGTTTTTTGTTCTTATCAGTTGATAAGCAAATCTCCAATTGCAGATGCTTTGTGGCTATTCTATTTTCTAAGCCCAATTGCTCTAAATCAAATTTTGCAAATAAAAATTTTTTCATAAATGTTTGCGGCTTATATTAGGTTTTTAGTCAATAACAGTATTTTTAAGTTTAATTTTTTACTCTTTTACCATTAGTATTCATTATAAATCACATAGAAGAAAAGGGCTTGCATTTCTTTCTTAGGAAAGTCAGGAGGAACCACAGGGCCTCTCTGCAGTTTCTCATTCCTCGTTGCTGTGGGTTCTGCAGCGCGCCCTCTGCTGGTGGAGTAAAAAGCAACAGCAGGACCAAAATGCCTTTGTTCCAAATGCATCAGTTTTCTAAGGGAAAGGGCAGAGGTATTTTTAAACACACCCCTTGCTTTCTCCCCCTGAATTTTCCTCTGTTTTCTCCTTTCCTCCTTGAGACCTTCAGCCCTTTGTCTGGCTCATCATTTAATTCTCCGCTCTTCAACCCCACTCCTCTCTGGCTTCAGCCCTCTTTCTGCCTGCCTCGGCCTTTCCTTTTCTCTCCCATCTTGCTAGTCTCACTCATTGTCCCAGATGCTGTCCTGTGAGGCCTGTGGCTGTGCTTTGGTCTCTCAGCTGCTTCCAGTGCCCCACCCCCATCCCACTCTGTGAGTTGCTTATCAGAGTCCTCAATGTCACAATCATAAAGGCTCAGAGAGAAAACTCTTGCCCCTGCCGTTCAACATCCCACGGGAATCAAGAAACCAAGAGAGGGCATGAACCTCTGCTCCTTGTATGGCTTGCAAAGCAGCACGGAAGGTGGCCTGCTTGTGGGGGCTGGATTTTATGATCTGTCTGAAGACAGAGGGATGGATGAGGTGACCTCGGGAGGGCTCTGCCAGGTAGAGGAGCTGAGAGACTCATCTCAATCATCATCAATTTAGATTTATTGGACGGCCCCCACCCTGTGCTTGGGGCTGTACTAAATGGCTTCATCCTTCAAGACCTGAAATCTACTTTCTGCCTTTTTAGCACTGTTTAAAATATTGTACTGTTGGGCTGAGTTTTTATGAGTTTTTGTTATTCATTCTGTTATTATTTATTACAAAGTATGTTTTACAAATTAAAGGCAGAGAATTTAGTGATGATGTTGGGATCTTTCTTTCTTCTTTCACACTGGGGTTTGAACTCTGGGCCTGTGCTTGCTTAGGTGGGCACAATACCACCTGAGCCATGTCCTCAGGCCCTGCCCTTCCTTTCTTTTAACATGTTATAGGTTTCTAAATCCTACAAGTGTCCTCCATGCATGTGTGAGTTCCAGGCATGCTGGATGTGGGTAGGATAGTATTCCTGGGGGGTTTTGTGGGTCCTGGAGCTGGCGGGGTGGGGGGAGAGATCGCAGCAGACTTGAGAGAGGAAGTTGCTGGATATGGAAAGAGGAAGAGGGAGAGGCTGAGAGCACACATACCAGTGCTGGAAGTAGTTTCTTGTATTTAATTGACAAATATTGACTGAATATCTCCTCTGTGCAGGTCATTTTTAAGATGCTGAAGATACAACAGCAAATAAAATATAACCAAAATCCCTGTCTTCATGGAGCTTATGTTCTAATAGGAAATTTTCATTTTTTATTATCATTAAAAATTTTATTCTCGGCAGTCCTGGAGTTTGACCTCAGGGCCTTGTGATGGCTAGGCAATGCTCTACCACTTGAGCCATGTCCCCACCCTTTTCTGTTTTACCTGTTTTTCAGATAAGATCTCACATTTTTGCCTGAGGCTGGTCTCAGGTCCTCCTAGCTGTGGCCTCCCAAACAGCTGGGATTAGAGGTATGCACCACCATACCCAGCTTATTGGTTGAGATTAGATGTTGCTACCTTTTTGCCTGGGCTGCCCTGGAATCTCAGTCTTCCCAATCTCTACCTCCCAAGTAGTTGAGATTAAGGTGTGTGCCACCACACCTGGTGCTAGATTTTAAAATAAAGTTGATGTATTGTAACAAAAAATCTGAGAAAAAAGGTAGGGAGTGTTGGGATCTGAATTCTAAGAGAATAATCAAGGAAGGTCTCCATGATGCAGGAAAGACCTGAAGGAGGCAGGGTACAAGCCAGTACAAGCGAAGAGGATAGTATTCCAATGGAGCAAAGGACAGTGATGGCAGGGGGACAAGGAGCCAAGGAAGCTAGGTGGAGAGGCCAATGAGCCAGGTCAGAGATGAGGCGACTTGGAGTAGAGGAGGCATGGAGGAGTCCTGTTCTGGGCATATTTGAGGGGCGTGTTTGTATGTGGTTTGCACATGGACTATAAGAGAGAGGAGTGAAGAGTGGTGTCAAGATTGATGACAGGGATGATGGAGTCCCACCAACCAAGGCAGATTAGAAAATGGTAAAGAGGAAGATGAGCAGGAGGGGGACAGGCCAGGGTTCTGTTTGGGGCATGTGAAGTCCAAGACTATGGAAAACAGCTGGGGAAGAGCTCGCAGAGAGGAGTGGGGGAACCTGGCTGTGAATCTTACAAAAAACAAAATGGATGTGGCCAGGGACGAGCAAAGGGAGAAAGTCTGAGATGATGAGGTGAGTCTGTGAAACGGAAGCGCATCGCCGCTGGACAGTGCTTCCTGCAGACGGTGCCCATGGACGGAGGGCAAGCTGCTTCAGGGAAGGAAGCCATGGATGGGAGCACTGTGGTGAGACAGCTCGGCTAGGGTGAGCAGTAGAAGGAAGGAAGCAGAGGAGAGAGGGAGGGTGAGGAAGCTGATAGGGATGGAGGAATGATGGGGACAGGCCCCCGGAGTCCTGGCCTCTAGGCAAACATGCCCAGGGTTCCTGGGGAGAAGGAGCAGGTGTGGAGCAGTGAGGGGACAGGCGATTGCAAGTCGAGGTGGGAGAGTTGGCTGAGAGACGGGGGGCAGGGGGTCTATCTGTACCCCTTCTCCTACAAAGCTCTTCACTGCCCTGACTTGTGCTCCCTTTGAGTTGGGTTCTCAGCTGCTTAGAGAGCGCCAGTGATATGTGGGACGCTCAGACTTCCCACTCATCCCTCGGCCTCCCGCTTCACAGGTGACCGAGCACTCTGGTTCTTCCCTATCAGTTGTCTTTGGACTTTGGGCACAAAATAAGGGAGTTTGTAAAACTCCAACACTGAAAATGTTATCTAATGCATTATTTGCATTCCTGACAAACACATCAGTGGATAAGAATAAAACCAATGGTTGAATTAAATTTTAGCAACTATGTGTGGATTGAAAATTTTATATGCTGGAGATTATGAATAATCAGTTACCTACTAAATGAAGGAAATTTCTACCTTAGCATCTCCTCTGTACCCTCCCTGTTGCACTTCTGCTCTTCCCCTTCCTCTCCGCCCTCCCTGCAGTCCTCCCAGCTGACTCAGGCTGTCTCAGGAGTCTAGACCTGAGCAGAAGCCACTGTCTGCCCTGCTCAGGTTGCAGTGGCCAGGAGAGGTGGGAGGTGGGAGAGGATAGGTCCAAATCAAATCCCAGAGTAATTCGGAGAGAGTTTGGCCACAAAGAGGTAGGAAATGGAAGCCCCAACTCCCAGGTCCTTATTGTTTCTTGAACCCAGACGAGGTGTGGGACTGGATGACCCTGAAGGTTCCATCTGGAGAGTCTGTGAGCTAGGTCTAGTGAGGCAGGAGGCTGAGGGGTGGGAAGGGAGAAGATGACGCAGAAGTCAGGAGGCAGCTCTTGCTGGTGGGGCCAGGTTAGGGTTCTGGGGAGGACAACGAAGGCCAGTAGCCCTGGCCTTCCCCGTTCCAGAGCACCACCCCTCCCTGCAGTGGTTCTGGAAGCACCCAAGCCATCTCCCGCACTGCTTCATTCTGGGGTGGGTTTGCAGTGTGGGACACCAGGGCAGTGCTGGTCCCTGGCAGTGGAGGAGACTGGGAGGTGGTTGGGGGTAGGAAGAATGAGTTGGGGTGGTGGAAAAGCTGAGGGGTCATTGTCCACACGAATTGCCTCCCCACTTTTCCGTGGTGAAATCTGTGCTGGTTAAAAACCTTTCTTCCCATTCTTTGTCTTCCCTTGAACCTCCCTCCTCTCGCTCCCCACCTGGACGTGCCATCCTGTCTTCTCTCCTGCCCACCTCGTCCTCTCCTTGCACCGTTTCCTGCCATTGCTCCCTGTTCCTGGCCATGGCTCCACGTGCCTCCTCCAAACTGTCTTTTCCTCGCCTCCTCCCTCCCCATCCACTGGTTTCTCGCTCCCCACAGCAGAGGGGAAGGTGTACAGCTCAGATGAGGAGAAGCTGGAGGCCCCAGCAGGAGACCCAGCGGGCAGCGAACAGGAGGAAGAGGGCTCGGGCGGTGACAGCGAGGACGACAGTTTCCTGGACAGTTCTGCAGGGGGGCCAGGGGCTCTTCTGGGACCTAAACCGAAGCTAAAGGGAAACCTGGGGACTGGAGCTGAGGAAGGGGCACCAGTGGCCACAGGGGTCACAGCTCCTGGGGGGAAAAGCCGAAGGCGCCGCACAGCCTTTACCAGTGAGCAGCTTTTGGAGTTGGAGAAGGAATTTCATTGCAAGAAATACCTGAGCTTGACAGAGCGCTCCCAGATCGCCCACGCCCTCAAGCTCAGTGAGGTGCAGGTCAAGATCTGGTTTCAGAATCGCCGGGCCAAGTGGAAGCGCATCAAAGCCGGCAATGTGAGCAGCCGTTCTGGGGAGCCTGTAAGAAACCCCAAGATCGTCGTGCCCATCCCTGTGCATGTCAATAGGTTTGCTGTGCGCAGCCAGCACCAACAAATGGAGCAGGGGGCCCGACCCTGACTGTGCTCCCAAAGACTGGAGGATCTACCCCCTACCCCGGGCTTCCCTGATGCTGCCTGGGTTCTGTGGATTCAGGCTGCTCCCCAGCCTGGAGATGTGGGCGCTCAGCCCTGAGCCCACTCGAGAGACCTTCAGGACAAGGGACTTCAGGGGTTCAGGTTCTAATCCCTGAGGAGCTGCAGGGACTGAGGCAGACTCCTGGGGTGAGGAGGGCTTGAAGGGTTCCTCGGTTAAGGTCCTGGACAGTTCCTTGACCGAGTGGAGGAGTCCAGGGCACCACCAGCCAGGAGGCTTGCAGCAACTTATTTATTTTCTGTAAAGTTTGTATATATGGAGCTGTCTCTGTCTGTCTGTCTACACCCCAAAGGGGGACTGGCTGGAAAAATTCTGTTTTCTCCATCCTCAGCCAGAGTTTGTCTCACCCTACTGCTTTGGCTTGGGCCTCTGTTTAGTACAAGGATATGCCAAGACATGAAGTGGGACTGTCACTAGCCTCTGTGGAAATTCTTCAGCACTTTTCCACTCCTGGGCTTCCCTCCCAGCACGGCCAGCCACTTCTATACCTCCTGCTTCCACTGGGCCACTTGGGTTCCCTTTCCCTATGAAATGGGCAAGCCTCTTCTCTCTGTCTTTTGGGGAGGTGTCTCACTTAGGGTGAGACTCACTCATATTCGCTCTGAAGGCAGAGGAAACACAAACATGATCCTAGTTTAGCTGGGTTATATCCAGGCTGTCTAAACACGTAGAGCTCACCATCTTGTCAGTGACTGGGGGACAATGTGGGGCTCAAGGAGAAAGTGCTTTCTCTCAAAGGGCAATGGCTCTGTTCAACTCTGACACCATCTGGTAGTTCGGACATAAGGGCAGGCAGGCCGCATTTGGGCTTCAGCTGTCACAGCATTGACTGTTCTCTTCACTGCACCACTTGTGAAATGTAGGATATGACAGCCTCTCGTGTTGAGCAACAAAAAAGTGGGTGAAAGGCCACTGCCAGGTGAACAGGACAGGAGTGAGTGTATGATGGTTCTAGAAAAGTGTGTGCTGGAGCTAGGAGTTAGGGGCTTTTGGATTAGAACTGTTAGGAAGCCAGGAACCATTAGTGGACAAAGTAAACCCCAGGATCAGGGCTACAGATACACTGAGGACAAAGGATCGTTATAGAAACCCACTGAGGGCTGGTATCACGGTAACTGGCTTCTTGGGAAGAAACTTGACCTATATTATTAGGGAGAGGAGCTAGTCAGAGCTAGAACGGAGTCATTGAGAAGAGAAATAAACAGGTTATGAATGAGGCCAGGAAACTAGTTTTAAGGCCAGGGAGGAAAGGTAAGATAGCTTTAGTCAAATAACTGGCCAGCCTCTCGCTACAGGGCCCATTCCTTTTGCAATTCCTCATCCCCTAAGTGGCAAACTAGTCTATGCCCTCTTGACTCAAATAGGTGTTGAATGCCTGAGACCAAGATCCACGTTCCTTGGCAATTTGTGATTGGTCACTAATGGATCAGTGTCACAGCTTTCCTGTGAGGATACACAGACCTAGGCAGCTTGTCTCCATTCCTTGGCTAGTTTTCAGCAGAGCTTAAGATTTCAGCTACATGTAGAGTCCAGACCTGCCCTTTTCTCAGCCTGTTCTGTATCATGGCAAGATCCTCTGATCCCTTCCACTCGGCCAGCTAGACAAAGATGGATGATGGCAGGAGCTGCTGCCTCTTCAGCAAGGCTGAAGCAGAGACCCTGTGGCTCCATGTCCCCATGGGGTTGGGGGAGGCTAGTGAGCACTGGGCAGAAAGGCTGAAGAGGACCAGCCACCATCAAGGCCTGGTCTGGCCTGCCTTTTCCCTTTTCTTCTGGCTTTCCCTGAGGCCTACTCAACTGTCCCCAGCAGTACCCAGCCAGCCCAAGCAACTTGCCTTTAGCTCCCTAAAGTCCTCTGAAGAGGACTTGCCATCCTTTCCTGAGCCCAAGAACTCAGTCCTGCACCTACCCGTGGCCCTGTCTCTATTCTACCCTGAGCTATGTGTAAGGCTCTTAACAGCCTTGCAAAAGGGGATGTGGACAAAGAAATAAAACTCTGGTTTCCTCTCTCAATAGTGTTACTTGGTTATTTGCCTACACATAGGTGGTGCCCATGCAGAGCACAGCCCACTACACAGCCACCTACCCAAAGCGTTTCAGAAAACACAGACACCAGCAAAGTGGTTCTAGGTATGGGGCGCCACAGGTTCCTGAGCCAGGAGCCAAACTTAGCAAGCTCTCATCCTTCGAGGACCAGTAAAGGGAAGGGTTTCTCCAGGTTTTCTTTTGAAGGGATGCAGCTGGAAGGAAGAGTGGGCCATCTGGCTGAGTTCTGCCCCCAGGCTTGGCTTGGCAAGCTGCTAGTGGGAGTCAAGGTGGCCTTTTGTCACCATTGACCTGCCTCTCCCCTTTCTCACCACAAAACCTCGATAGGAGCAATTCATATTACCACGCAGCTGCCCTAGTCACCCTGTGGCATCCTCCAAGTTCTTCTCCTGGGTACCACCTCTGGTATCTCCCTGCACGCCTGGTCACACAGGCTCACTCTCTTTGGGCACACTTTGGCCAGTGCGGGATGTGGTATGAGGTTACTACAGAGGCCATTGGAAAGCTTTCTGAGCTGGGAAGGAGGCACCCATAAGAAACAGGTGTTCTTTCATCAGGTTCAGGTTCTCTGTGCCCCAGTGCTGACAAACTCAACCCCACCCCTGCCAAGGAGTAGGAGGCTGAGGGCAGCCCAGGGCCTACGCTCAGTGAGAGGGGAGAGGATCTGCGAACACAGACAGCGGATGCCAGAAGGCAGAGATGAAGGGTATTCTCAGAAGCGCAGAGGCACAGAGATATAAAAGGGGAAACAAGGCCACACACAGTCTGGTTTATTAGCTCATCATACACACACACCAAATATGTACACAAACATAAATACTCCAATGTACAAATTTTACATGGGACTCACAGATTGCCCCCTTTCCTCTTTCATCCAGCACCCCCCATCCTGTGCCCTGTCCTTCCCTACTGTAGGATAAAGGCTTGTGGGGGCTGGCACCAGGAGGCAGGGGTCTGGAGGAGGGAGAGGTCCTGCCCCCCTCTCCTCACAGGCACCTCCAAAGGGTCCTGTCCTTTCTCAATGGCACCGTAGGGCAGAGGGCTGAACAGCACGCTCCCTCTGCTGCAGCCGGATCCCAGACCTCTCATTGATCCTTTCGCCACTCCTCCCACATTTCCTCTCCTTCTTCCTTTTGCGTGTCCCTGCTTCTCCATCTGTGTCTGTTTTCCCAGGGCCTGTGGTAGGAGGGTCCCTAGATCATGGAGTCATTCTGGTCCCTCTGCCCTCCTCCTCGGCCTCATAGGAGGCTTGGGCTGCGGTGCAGCTCAGCAGAGGGGTTAGTGCCATTGGCAGGCTCTCGGTTAGGGGTGGGTGCTAGGCCACAGCCCTCCCCAGGACAGCCATGCTGGATCAAGATGTCTGCACACTCCTGGCTGCCGGCCCGGCGGGCGTAGGCCAGTGGGGTCAGGCCTCGGGCGTCCCGGCTCCTCACATCCACCCCGTACTGCAGGAGAAAGCACATGTTCACAGTTGGCATGACATGGAAAAAAGGCCTCAGTTCTGGAGGAGGAGAGGTAGCTTTTGAAGTTTGGGGTGAGAAGGGGAAGGCCAGGGCAGTCAAGAGGCACCCCAACTTACCCAGATGAGCAGCTGCGTGAAGACCACATTGGCCATGGCGCTGGACAGGTGCAAAGCTGTCCGCCCATCACCGTCCCCATACGTCTCATTCACCTCCTCTTTGGACCCATGGGCCAGCAGCATCACCAGCAGCCGCAGGTCATCTTCCACCACCGCCCGGAGCAGCTGCTGCCCCAGGGGCACATCTGAGCTCGGCAGCGGAGCCAGGAAGAGTTTCTGCTCATACTTGGCCCGGATCCAGCGCTCTTTCTCTTCTCTACAAACACAGGTCCATCAAGGCATGAGTCAGGGAAGGACACCGAGTCCATGCCAGCGGGTGGGGGAAAGGAGTCAGGAGGGAAACAAGAACCCAGGAGGCGAGGGACAGGAAGAGCCAGCGTAAGGATGCACAGGATGGTGTGAAGAGAAAGGGGAAGCCCAGAGGACTCTGGACATTCAGAGGCAATGGGCCTCATAAAGGGGGCTGTACAAGCAAAAGGAAGGGACACTGAAGGGGCCCCCTAGGGGCAGCAAAGATGTGGGGGCAGGAAGAGTCCAGGCAGGCCTGAGTGGAGCTTATCTGGCTGTCAGAACTCTCTCTGATTGGCAGTGCTAGAATAAAGCTGGTGGGGGCCACAGAGACCCTATCTACCACCCTTTCTCCCCTATCTATCACCCATTCTCCCCATCTCACTGTGCAGGCTGGGGCAGTAGAACCACATAGTATAGGGGCCCCGGGCGCATGCGCCTCCTGCTGGCCCCTGACCTGCTGATAACGGCTCAGAAAGGGCCGTTGTTGTGAGGCGCCTGAGTGACAGGCACCAGCAGGGGAGGGACACCCCCAGGGGCCAACTGCCAAGCAGAGCAACGGCTCCTTTTAACCCTTCTAACTCTGTTACAGCCACAGGGCCCCATTCTGTCTAACCTCCCCACACTGGGAGTCCTGACTGTCCCCTCCTTCCTGCCTGGCATTGAGGGCCCCATCCGCTCACCGACAGGCTTCAGGCCCTGGCTTTGCGTAGCCATCCAGGGCCCCCTCCCAGATGCTGTTGGCTAGGGCATTGCCCATTGCAGTCATGACAGCCAGCAGCTCAGGCGGCCAGTCGTCAAGGTCCAGGGAGCGGACCCGAGACAGGTGAGCCCCCAGGTGTCGGTGGATCCCAGAGCACTCAATACACATCAGAGCACCCAGGTTCAGGCTGGCCCAGTCTGGATCTAGGCAAAAAGAGGAAGAAAGATGCAGCAGGCAGCAACCAATTAAGGGAGCAGCTAGGAAGGCCTCCTTCCCACCCTCTTCCCGCACCCCCAGGCTTGCAAAGCTTCCTCCAGGAGCTCAGTCCC